TTTTATATAAATTATCATGATAAAAAAAATTATTGCCCTCATGGAGCTCATAATCTAAGAGAGAGAGATAATAAGAAAATTAAAATATAAAAATTGTTTAAGTAGATGAGATGTGTGGTTTTTTTTTTTTCATTCTGAATCAGCTTTTGGTCTGCTCCCACTTTCCAGATAAGAAACTCAAGGACAGAGAGGAAAAGTAACACAATCTACCCGTAAGACACTATTTGTTTGAATCCAGAGCCAGTGATCTTTCTGTTGAATTATACTTACTATGAGGTACTTCTACTATGTCTATTTTATCTGAACCATTCACTTATGTACTAGAAAGAGAATAGGCTCTGGCACCTGGGTTCAGATTGCAGCTCAGCTGCTTCCTGGAAGTTTTATCTTGAGATTTCCTCTTCAGTAAGATGGAGATAACAAAGCCTACTTCATAAAGATGAAATGTAATTGGTTATATTTACATGTTGGTACAAAGTAAGGAGTCAGTGAAAATTAGTTCTTTTCCTAAATCTCTCAAAATGGCTTCTCTGAGTTTGTTGTTTATTTATAAGCTATGTTCAATATGTAAATACTTACAGTCTAGCAGCTTCAGCAAACATATTCATGTGTTTGTGCTTTTATAAATTATTGTAGCAATATAGTTTAGATAGTAAAAAGACTGGCTCACTGGAACATCTGGGAAATGAGCCAGATACATTTATCTGACCCTTATTTCACTGGGAGGGAACTTTCAAAGGATAAATAATTCAAAATTAAACCTAATTTATTTTTTTCCAAAACATAAAGCCAATTCTTTGATATTTCTACTAGCTATTAAAAAATCAAAGCCATATTCCATTTTTAATCTTAAGACATTTAACCCTAAACAAAAAAATACATAATGGCATAGGTTATATGAGTGGCCACCTGAGAAATGGGTTATAAGTATCTAGTCTCCCCAGAAGAATGATGTGTTTCTCAGATATGGTATACTGAATGCAGTGCAGGAATAAAGGCACATAAATGGCATTGTGGAGGAAGAGTGGCAGAAGAAACAAAGAATTCCAAAATGATTCTTAAAGATTTTGACTCAAAAAGAAGGGTTCTTTTTGACTTCTTGTATTTTTGTATTATGTCTTAAATTTATCTGTGTAATATATTTGGGTATTTTAACATATAACACATTATATCCTATAACTACTTCTGTTTATGTTAACTTTAATCTTTATAAAGTCCAAACCAAATCCTCTGATTATTATAAATAGAAGCCACGTTCCTGGCTGGGTGCAGTGGCTCACACCTGTAATCCCAGCACTTTGGGAGGCTGAGGTGGGCAGATCACAAGATCAGGAGATTGAGACCATACTGGCCAACATAGTGAAACCCCATCTCTGCTAAAAATACAAAAATTAGCCGGGCGTGGTAGCAGGCACCTGTGTTCTCAGCTACTCAGGCAGCTAAGGCAGGAGAATCACTTGAATATAGGAGGCAGAGGTTGCAATGAGCTGAGATCATGCCACTGCACTCTATCCTGGGCAACAGAGCAAGACTCCACCTCAAGAAAAAGAAGCCACATTCCAATAAAAATAAAGAAACTACTCTCAGATTCGACTGAATATGGAACACATTTTATATTTAAGACAGCATGACTTCCTCTTCAAAATTTAGTCTAGAAAAATAAATAATCCTTTGGGCATCAATTATACAATTACATATGTAAATTTCAATGACTGAGATGTAGTAAACATACTATCTGGAATTATCTTAAACATTTATATTTATGTGATTGCTTTCAGGGTTCCCTACACTTAAAGTGCTTGTTTCTCTCATACTTTAAGTTCAAAATCTTGATCATTTTTCAAAATATACCTCAAATATCTCCTTCTCTATGAAGTATCCCCTTGTTCCCCAGTCAGAATGAGTTGCTTATTTCTCTGAACAGTCATTATTGTGTGTCCCTCCGTTATCTCGTAAACTGAAAACAACTTATAACCATTCTTATAAGTACAGATGTTTCTCCCATTTGGCTGTAAGCTTCTTAAGAGCAGGGCCATCATCATGGCCCCTATTGCTCTCAACACATATCTGATATTCATCCATTCATTTGTTCATCCAACAACTTATTGCATGCCTAATTTTGATACCATGGAATGAACAGGAGTGAAAAAATACATGAAAATTAACAACTAAGTCTTAAGGTCATAGGGGGAATTTTCCAAGCCAAGGAAGCTCTGGAAAAAAACGAGGATAAAAATACCGGCACAGAACAGATTTACTGAAAGCATTAACAGAAGCCTTGTATCACAGAACTGATGTATTTTTATAGCCAGTGTATATGCTTTTAAGTTAAGGATCTCTCTCTTGTAGTACTTTGACCATTTTATGCAATCTGAGACTCCTGTGGTTTGTGTATAAAAATCTGGTAGGCTCAGAGTGAGCGAAATAAATCTAATCAATGTTTATTTTCAAAAGAAAACACGAATGGGCAGTAAAAACTTAGAAAGAGGAAAGAGAAGGAAACTATTCTTTTTAAGTTAAAGGCCTAAAGTCCAACTTGCAACTCTCAAGCTAGCTAGATAAATTCTTAGAAAATAACTTTGGAAACTTTTCATTAAAACAAAACGTATTGCTATCTCAACATATATGTTACACTTAGATTTATTTCAAATACCATTTTTTGTATGTGCTCTTGAGATACTAGGTTTCCTATTTCTTTAGAATAAATTAAACTTTTCAAAGCATACGTGCCAACTTTAAAAAAATTATCATTGTCAAATCATTTCTGATAGGGCAATTTTAAGTTGATATTATGCTCCATTCTATTCTCCCAGTGCCAGACCTCCTGGTCTTTTCCACTAAGGCTTCACGCACTCTTTACACCTCATGATTCATTCGCCCACAGAATACAGACATGATTTCTGATTTTATACAAGAACATTGCATGCTCAACTTAAATCTTTGATTTCCTGAAACAAGTACTTTCCACAAAAACTAGTCCTCTTCTGTACTAATGTTTCACAATCACAGAAAGCTATTAATGACTAACATTTCTGTATATATCTCTAATTTGCCCTGTTACATTGCTGTTTGGTTTCCAAGACCTTCTCTCCTAATCTGTCATGGGCCACTCTCTCTAAGATTTTCCAAACTTTTCCTGAAAAGCCTGTTACTTCCTTCATACCTGACTTCTGATGGAGCACAGATAAGTCTTCCTCTCCCATTCTCCGAGAATTCAACAACACTCTGCCTTAGGTGGGGACTGACTTTGTCACCCTTACTAGAATCCCCATCAGTTTTTATTATTTTGCTTGTTTGCTTTTAGAGATGTGGTCTCACTATATTGCCCAAGCTGGCCTTGAACTCCTGGCCTCAGGGATTCTTCCACTTCTGCCTCCCAAGTAGCTAATATTACAGGTGTGTGCCATCGTGCCTGGCTTTTCTCATTGACTTTCAACAAACTCTAGTTCATTTCCATTTTTAAGAGTAGGATCACTGAATCTATTAACTTTCTCCTTTCTTTCCTTCCTTCCTTCCGTCCGTCCTTCCTTCCTTCCTTCCTTCCTTCCTTTCTTCCTTCCTTCTTTCTTTCTTCCCTTCCTTCTTTTTTGTTTTTTTCAGACGGGGTCTTCCTCTGTTGCCCAGGCTGGAGTGCAGTGGCACGATCTCACCTCACTGCAGACTTCACCTCCTGGGCTCAAGCCATCCTCCTGCTCAGTCCCCCAAGTTGCTGGGACTACAGGCAGATGCCACCGTGTCCAGCGAATTTTTGTAGAGAAACGGTTTCACCATGTTGTCCAGGCTGATCTCAAACCCCTGTGCTCAATCTGCTCACCTTGGCCTCCCAAAGTGCTAGGATTACAGGCATGAGCCACCACCCCTGATCTCTGTTAATTTTCAAAACACTTCATTTAAAATGTCAGATTAATTCTGAAACAAAAGCTACCCCACGAGCTATCAGTATGACTCTACAGATATTTTAAAAACCCTCAGTATAGTAGAGCCTAAAACATTCCAACATGGTATCAGCCTGCTGAGTTCAAATCCTGGCTTTGCCACAGATTGAGCAGCCTTGAGCCATTTTTTCTGGATCTCTGAGCATCATTCATCTTTCATCTCTTCAGACATTAGTTATCTATTAATATTTATCTGTCCTGTGCCAAGGTTATAAGAGTTAACAATGCAATCACAGTGCTTCACTAGACTGACTTTCTAATGAGCTTTTTCCTCATCTTTAAAATAGAAATAATACCCATCTTGCAGGGTAAAATCAAATGAAGTCAAACACATAACACATGTGAAAGTCGATTAATGATAACTTTTATTATCCAGTATATAACACACTGCCTAGTACATAGAATTTCAACCCATATTTGCTTCATTCATTTATTTTATTAATTATTCCTGTCTCTACCTATGGCACCTCACCACCTCTACTCTACACCAACCACCCACTACTTCCCTGTCCCTACAGGAGAATCTCATGAACCCTCCCAGCTTAAATCCTTCAAGGTGAGATGACCTTTCCAAACCAGAATAGTCCAGTTCACAGGAAGCTACACTTCAGCCAAGGTTATTTTGGAAGCTATCTCTGAGGCCCCTGTACAACCAAGAGAATAGCATCCACAGGTCATGGCAAGCCAGTTACTACCCAGAAAATGCCTGGATTTTCTTTATCCATCTGGTTATTGTTCCCAGGTTATCGCTTCAAGGTGTGCCATCAGATGAAAATGATATGGCGTCTCCCATTTTATTGGTGAGAGGGTTTTTCCCCCCGTGAGAGTTGCTCAAAGAGTCTTCACAAGTTAATTAAAACAATAATAATAATAATTTAAAATATCTTTATTTAATCTACTTTCCATGTAATGGATCCACTCTCAAATACACAGTTGTTTGTAGTTATTAGCTCACAATTTGAAAACTGAAAAATATTTTATAAAGGCATTTGTGTGTTGAAGTATTAATATAAAGTGTAACTCTGGAAAGACCGTATGTTTAATGCTATATGTATTTGTTTCTAGACACTGTGAGAAGTTGTGTAGCAAAGTTGTTCTTCACCTGCTCCTTGAAGGGTCATTACTGCCTATACAGTAAGTCCAGTTTTATTCTCATCAGCCAAGAACCTCAGCCATGGATCCAGATCATGTTTCTATTTCAGCAGGTTTGTATAATTTGTGTTCATCAGGCTCTTCAATGAGCTTGTGGCATACGGGCTTGTAATCATTTTTTTTAAATAATCATTTTTATTGAATTATTCTTTGGCCAGAGTTGATACGTAGATAACAGCAATACATACATATTTCATTAATAATTTTAACCTGGGTTTTTTTATATTTTAGAATAGTTTCCTTATAAAAGAAGGAATTATTAATCAGTTCACCAAGCATATTAATATCTTAAATATCCTTAGATTTAAAATAGAAGAATGAAAGGGAAAATATCTTTGGTTAAACAACAGTAAAAACAGCTTATTTGGGAGAATAGCTTCCCTTACATAGTGCTAGCCTTGATTCGTCTAGAGCCTTCCAATCTCCAGTTAATGTTAGTGTCAGTATATTCTTTTTGACAGTGTTAAGATACTGGAATGCCTCTTTTTTTCTACAGAATATATGTACATAGGTGAAATTATGTAAAAAGCAACTTTTGACAAGAATGAAGAAATTAATGCAGAGATGTTAGCATCAAAAGAGATTCTTATTTGAAAATAGTTATCTTGGATGCACTAAACTTTCACATAATATTTGAGTATAGATTATAAAATGTTAGTAATAGAAGGAATCTTAGGAATCATTTTTACAGATAAGAAAATTGAAGGGTAGATCTCACATCATCTTACCCCTGACCTAGTGATCTTTTCGTTGTTGCATGTAGGTTGAAAAACAATGTATTTTTATTTTTAAAATGCATTATTTTCTGCAACTACAAGCAGAGAGGGCAAAGGCAGAAAAAAACAAAATGCAAATATTATAATATGACTGAAAAGCAAATTATATGACAATTTATTTACTTCTGTTAATAAAATATTTCTATAATAGCTCCTATAAAAGCCACCAAGCAGACAGTTGTATATCGTTATAAAATAAAGTCAGGCTTATTGAGAAATAATGAATTTTAATGCTGAATACATTATAATAATAAAGCAGAACTATAGTAATTAAGAAAAGAGACATATTAGACATGCCTTAGGAATACTGTTTTTTTCTATAGCAAGTCTTCTTAAGAACATTTAATAATGTCACATAGAGAACAACTTATATTTTGGTGCCAAACAAATTGTACATGAATACAAAGAACAGCATTGACTTTCTTTACTTTTCTTGAAATAACCACCTTATTTTTTTCTACTTTGCTTATATTTTTCACTTAGTTTTCATCAGTGATTTTATATTTGGTTTCATCTTTGGCTTTGTTATAAACAGTTTTCAGTTTTCTGAAAACAAACCTAGAAATCTTCATGGTTTTTTTTTTTTTTTTTTTTTTTGCCCTCCAGTATTATTTTATTGACTTTGATTCTTTGTCTTTCTCTTTAAACAAAATCACCAGAAAGCATCTGTGTATGCTATGTTTCTCCTGTGTTCATTTTACTATAAAGGTTTCTTTGTTTTTCCACACTTATGATATGTTATCTTCTGGCTGAATTCTGGCTTCAGGGTAAATAAAAATCAAACTTTGGCTTGATATTAATAATTACAACCTGGCACTAGTCTTGTGCATTGGGCCAAACTCTTTTCCCTTTCTGTCAACTACACACATTCACACAGTTCTTAAATTCACAGATTCCAGACTAAATGCTCCTCTTTAGATTGATGATTCATTAAATCAGGTCCTGTTCTTTAAATGAAAAATTGGGTGCTGCATCAGTTTTTGATAATAATTAATAAATTCTCAAATGTATCCATATTATGGGTTATGTAATTTATCTATTACTGGCTTTTAAATTTTTTTTAATCTGTGGATCACTAACTTGAGCATTAAGATTCTCCATCTTTCCCATTCAGTACTAGAAATAGTTCATTTTGTTAACAATAAAATTTTTCTGGAATAGTACTTATTAATCTTCATTCACTAAATAGAAGCTTTGTACATACAAACAACTTAGAGAGTCTCTCTTAATTTATTTATTTTTTTTCTTTTTTAAGATGGGATTTCACCATATTGGTCAGGCTGGTCTCGAACTCCCGACCTCAGGTGATCCGCCCACCTCAGCCTCCCAAAATGCTGGGATTACAGGCGTGAGCCACCGTGCCCGGCAGAGTCTCATGTCAGTGCTTAGACAGTCATTGACGTAAAAAGAAAATATGATTTTATAAGCCAATCTCATTATTTTATTATACATTATACATAAACGATCCTATATATCACATTGTATGTATGTAAATGGTATTTTTATGCCTTTACAGATGTTCTATATGTTTTTATAAAATTATTCTTTTGAATTGAAAAACTTGTTAAATTTATAGATATAACACTATCACATGTAAATGATTATTAGACACATCATTGATTAGTATATATAAAAACAAGTTAAAATCTTCCTTTGAAAAGTTTATCTTCATTGGCTTGAATGAAATATATGTAAATGTGATTTTCTTTCTGTTCACATTCTTATTGCTCAACACTTAAAGAAATTATCTTAAAGTTTCAATAATATTCAACCATTATACATTTTAGAATTAAAACTGTTTTTCTATCCCCCACACACTCACTCATACTGTTCATATTTGATTAATTTCATAACGAACTTAGTTATTTAACTTCTATTCTTCATGATCTACTCTGTATAGACTTGATTTTTTTACTCTATTTTAATTTTATTCCTTAATTGCCAAATCTTTGAGAAAATAAATATGAATACATTAACTACATTCCAATTAAGGAACATCCTTGGGAAATCACTGAGATAAACACTATGTTACAAAGGTTAGGCATATTTATGGAAATCATTATCAACCGCCTTGAAAATCCTATTAAATAATTTTAAATTTCTGTTAAAAAATGAAAATCCTGAAATATATGTTTGATCTTTCTTTGTTTAATTTTCTTAAGAGAGGTAAGGGGTCTTGTTATATTGGCCAGGCTGGTCTCAAACTCCTGGTCTCAAGCGATCTTCCTGCCTCAGCATCCCAAAGTGCTGGGATTACAGGCTGATCCACCATGCCCAACCCCCATATATTGGATCTTTAAGACAGATCTTTTTCTTGTTTTATTTAAATTTAAATCATATTAAAGTTCAAACCAAGCCTAAGCAGTGCCTTGAAATCAATCAAACAATACTAGTGGGACAAGACATAGTATATTCTGTTTCTGTCTGTAATGTCCTTTCAGAGCCTGTTTCCGGAGCCCCTGTCCATACAGAGTCATTCTGTGCAATTCCTCCGAGCCCTGTGGGAGAAGACCCAGACAGGGAATGCTCACAGCTTTGAAACAGCCATGATGGAGTCCATGTTTCCACAGCAGAAGGTAAAGGTTCCTTTCCTTGGCCATATTATAAACCAAGATTTAAGACTGCCTTGAAACGGTTTGCCTTTTTTTTTTTTTTTTAAGCAATTTAATTTCTTCCTTCTTTCCTTTACCTTGTTTTTATCATTATCAGAAAACGCTTGTAAGTAATTATTTTCACCTGGTACCATAGTGGATTCAGAATAGAGTGGTATCAGTAAACAAGGTCATTGCCCTTTGAGGTCTATGTATTGACACAATACAGTTCCTTAGAACCACACAATAACTGCATGCAGAGTATGAAACAGAAAACATTTTACAGCTGGGTGTGGTGACTTATACCTGTAATCTCAGCTACTCGGAAGGCTGAGGCAGGAGGATAACATGAGGCCAGTAGTTAAAGGTTAGCCTGAACAACACAGCAAGACTCCATCTCTAAATTTTTTTTTTTAAATACCCAGGCATGGTAGCCCATGCCTGTAGCTCCACTATTCCTTGATCTTGGTCTTCCCAGCTCCAGAATTGTAAAAAATAAGTTTCCATTATTTATAAATTACCCGGTCTTAGGTAATTAGAAGCACAGTGACTAAGAAAGAAGGCCTGAATTAAAGTTAGAACTTGCAGGAAGACTGGAGAGCTATTAAGAAAATCAAATCAACAGGACTTAGAGCCTAATAAGAAAAATAGAAGAATCTAGGGTGACTCCAGTTGCATTGTTTGGCTAACTGGATGATGATATCACCCTGAAAATGAGAAATCACAAAGTAATCTGATGGAGCAGAAGAAGATAAAGCATTCTTATTTACATATTTGAATTCAAGCCCCTTATAAGGCTAACCAGGTGGAGATGGTGGTTAAATGCCAATGTGGGCTTCAGGAACAAAGCCATGACTGGAGATACGAATTTGGGATTCAAAGTCATGGCAGAAGACTGGACAATCATGCCAATATTAAACAAACTCAAAGTACAAACAAGTAGCAAATTAAGTACTCCAGAACTGATATCTTGTGAAACTAACATAATATCTCTTAAGTGATTAAGATCTAATAATATGAAAATGAGCATGATTGATCAGAAGTTTATTTGTAATGGTCTGTAAGACTCTAAAGACACATCAAACTACTGCATCACTACTTTTTGGCTTAGGTTTAGGAATTCAACATGCAGTATTAAAAATAAAGGAAATGCCACAATTGCATCAGTGTAAAGTAAAATGGAATCTTTGCACATTTCATTCAAATTTTCAACTGTTGCATCATGTTTGAAGACAATGCCTCAAGTTCTCATAAATTTTTCATTGCGAACTATATTTTAACTAGAGGCAACTAGTAAATGAAAACTTGGCAGGCTGCTTCAAATCCTAAGAGATTTTAAAAAGTACTTGGCAAACTAGTTTTGTGCATACTCACAAGTATACTTATTCATATTTCTTGTATTTTATACTAATAAACATTTCTCTAAGGGAAAATTAACAGTAAACCAAATTTAAAATTTTTTAAAGTCTTATAATTTGGTTTGTTCATGAGTAATAGAAAAAACTTTTATATCTGCAATGTACATTATGTGGCAATATCTGCCCAAGTATTTCTCGTTTGTGTTTTCCTATTTTTTATGAAGTGTTCTACGTACTAAATTAAAAATAGCCATGAGAATGGTGCAAAGTCTGCTTTATTTTCACAATAGGTGCCATATAGACTTACATTAGTGATTTGAAAGAGATGGCCATGTGTGTATCGACTGCTGTGATGGAGTTTCACTGCAGCGAAATGGATTCAGGTACACAAGAAAGAAGGAAGAAACTCCTAAGAAAATGTCTGAGTATCTAGAATTTAACATTCTGGATGATATGAAGAGAAGTGTGTTATTGTGACTGCTGTATAATAGAATCTTGGAATTTTAGAACTAAATTATAAATTGCTTGAGGGCAGGAATTTTGCCATATTTACCATTGTATTGCCAGAGCTACACAGTGCTTGGCACACACTAGGTTCTCATTAAACAATACATATCAATTGAAGAAATTTAAAAATTTTATCATTTTCTGGATGTCAAAATTGGAAGGGACCTGTTGAAGGTCAGTGGCAGAGTTAGAAATGATACACATACCCTTGTGACATCAGAGTTGCCACCAATGCATCTGGTACTTCCCTCCTCTAGGCACAGGACAGGATCACATTTCCCTGTCTATTGAAGCAAGGCTGGCCATGTGACTTGCTTTAGCCAGTGAAACATGGGAGGGGATATGTGTCACTCCAAGAGGAATTTTTTTTTTTTTTTTTTGAGACAGAGTCTCACTCTGTCACCCAGGCTAGAGTGCAATGGCGGTCTCTGCTCATCGCAACCTCTGCCTCCTGGATTCAAGTGATTCTCCTGCCTCCAAGAGGAATCTTTTAAAAGCCTCTGCAATCCCTCTTTTCCTCTACCATGATCATCATGATCGTAGGAGCAAATGTTGAGATTAAGTTGCCAGAAGATGAAAAAAACCTGGAATTCTGAGCCACAACATGGAGGACTTCTGCTCTAGAGAGCCACCCAGTCCCAACAAACATTTTCCAAGAGAAAGAAATAACTGTTGCTTTGTTAGAAATTGAATTTTTGGTATTAGTTATAGCAACATAACCTTCCTGTCTTGATTCATACACCTACCAGGGAGTTAAGCATGTTGGCTCTGAATCACCTGGCTTTAAAATCGGGCTCTGCTCCTTACCAGCTCTGTGTCCTTTGTCTCTGTGCCCCAGTTACTTTACTTGAACAATGGAGATAATATTAGTACCTACCTCATAGCACTGTTTTGAGACTTGAATGAGTTAATACATGTAGAGCTCTCAGAACAATGGCCACACATTGCAATCTCTCAATAAATGTTAGCTAATATTCTGATCCCTAGCCAGCACCCAACCTCAAATAACACAAATTCAAATCTGTCTTACATGCATTATGGGAGGTTCAGAGTGGAGGTAGGAAGATGAACCTGAATAATAATCTCTCAAGTTATTGTACTCTTCCACTTTGATCAGATCGACATTACCAGAAACATTTCCCAAATTTCAAACATGAATTTTCAGTATAAAATTCAGCCAGGTGCAGTGGCTCATGCCTGTAATCCCAGCACTTTGGGAGGCTGAGGCAGGCAGATCACCTGAGGTCAGGAGTTTGAGAACAGCCTAGTCAACATGAGGAAAGCCCGTCTTTACTAAAAATACAAAAATTAGCCGGGCATGGTGGTGCGTGCCTGTAATCCCAGCTACTCAGAAGGCTGAGGCAGGAGAATTGCTGGAACCTGGGAGGCGGAGACTGCAGTGAGCCAAGATCCCACCACTGCACTCCCGCCTGGGAGACAGAAGGAGACTCCATCTCAAAAATAAATAAGATAAAATCAAATAATAAATAAATAAATAAATTCAATCAAATTATATTTTGCAAACTATATATCAGTCTCACACAGGCATCAGAGAGTGGAAATGCTTATGTAATATAATGCTAAATATTTTTAATCCATAAAAACAAAAGTTCAACATTAGTGAACTTAGTAAAATGCATGAATTCAATAGTTCAAATTTTTAAAAATTATCACCTAAATGGCATTTGATAAAATCCAACAATCATTTTACTAACACACATTTTGTATAAAAATTGTATTGGCCAGGTGCAGCGGCTCATGCCTGTAATCCCAGCACTGTGGGAGGCTGAGGTGGGTGAAACATGAGGTCAGGAGTTCAGGACCAGCCTGACCAAGATGGTGAAGCTGTGTCTCTACTAAAAATACAAAAAAATTACCCAGGCATGGTGGTGGGCACTTGTAATCCCAGCTACTCGGGAGGCTGAGGCACAAGAATCTCTTCAACCCAGGAAGTGGAGGTTATAGTGAGCCAAGATTGTGCCATTGCACTCCAGACTGACAACAGAGTAACACTCCGTCCCCCTGACAAAAAAAAAATTATTAATGTCTATGTCTAATTAGACTGGATTTCCATGAGAACACATGCTTGTCATTGTACACTCAGCACCTAGAGCATAGCCTGGCATAACAATTGACACTCAGTGACATGTATTGGCTGAATAAAGTGAGAGAGCACTATTACTAACTAGAAATGGAAAGATGTGCTCTTAGCATGATAAATACTTATCTGATAACAAAAGAAAAAGTATGCCTAGTGGTAAACAATTGAAAATTTTTTTTATTAAATATTGAAATAAAACCAGAATACCCACTATAAACTTTATAATTTAGTATTGTTCAAAAGCATGAGTCAATGTGAGAATATAAGCCCTGTGAGAACATGGATCTTGTCTGCTTGTTCATTACAGAATCCAGGATATCTAAAGAGCATGCCTGGCTCATATTAGGCACTAAAAAAATAACAATAATAATAACAAATAGAACACAAGACAGAAATAAGGAGGATATTATTTGAAATAAGAAGATAAATTCGGCCGGGCGTGGTGGCTCAAGCCTGTAATCCCAGCACTTTGGGAGGCTGAGGCGGGTGGATCACGAGGTCAAGAGATCGAGACCATCCTGGTCAACATGGTGAAACCCCGTCTCTACTAAAAATACAAAAAAAAAATTAGCTGGGCATGGTGGTGCGTGCCTGTAATCCCAGCTACTCAGGAGGCTGAGGCAGGAGAATTGCCTGAATCCAGGAGGCGGAGGTTGCGGTGAGCCGAGATCGTGCCATTGCACTCCAGCCTGGGTAACAAGAGCGAAACTCCAAAAAAAAAAAAAAAGAAGATAAATTCAACATTACTTTTAGCTAATATGAGAATAAAAAGAACACTATTAGAATTAATAATAATTTACTGGGCATTTAGAATGTGCCAGTAATTGTCCTGTTCATTTAATATCAATTATTTCACTTAATCCCAAGAACACTATGAGATAGATAGAATTATTATCATTTTACAAATGAGTAAACTAAGTAGAAGAAAGATTTTCTCAAAGTCACAGAGCAATGGAGAGAAATAGACTTGAATGAACAGTGATTTACCACGTTCATGACTGGAAATAGTGAATATTACA